TGATCCAATGGCCACGRCCCACTGACCTTGGGAGACGAAACGACCCCAAGAGATAGGTTTAGTTCGATTATCGACTCTGGGTCAAGGATGCACCAAACCAGACCCCCCCATGTTGTCTCATGCACGACCTCAATCAGTCAACCCCGGTGCCCATCCTACGTACGGGCCTACGACGGATGATGTCAACGCCTGTATAGGGCACATGTATAGGGCACATGCAATGCATGCATGTAGCCTACACTCGTACGAGCCATGATCACAAACCTTTGGCCTAGAATTATCCTTTATTGACGTGAAGCATGAATGGAGGAGCAGTCACACAACCACTTAGAAGAGATCTGCATCCGAGGCCAACGCCTCCATGCGAATCTACCATACTTTCTTCAGCCAAAGCCGAGGCCTTGACACAATCCGCCAACGGACCTCAGTCACTATGGTCTCGAGAGTGGGGGCGCAAATGATGTAGGAATATTTGGCCGATCTACAGATCTTGACATGTGGCATCGGCCGGATGCATCCTGGCCATCCATCATCAACCACTACCAACCGCCGCCACCTGCTCYCAACTGCCCCACTTCTAGGGCAACTCCTGCTATAAAAGGGGCTTCCACATTGAGGTAAAGACACACAGACTTAAGCTCTAAATTTCCTCCTTTGCTTGGTCCAACCCTCACAGTTCTCAGCTAACTTGATCGTCAGAATCTATATCCCTGGGATAACTCCTGAAGCCTCTGACGTCTTCTAAACAAGTTGGACCCATCGACCTCTGACACCAAAAATTACTTTATTACCCTCCCTCCTTATTTGGCAGCAACATAGGCAAAATACCGAAAAGTGTGTAAACCTCAAACTCATGACCTAAGCCTTGCTGGTATAGTCTGAGCTAGGCTACGCCTTTCCCAGCCCCGCGTTGATATGTAGGCCTTTCAGAACCTTGATAAGAAATATATATTATTAGTAATTTATTTTACAGTCTGATCTGATTTCTGAAATTCAGAATTGAAATTGTACTAAAACTATAAACAAAATTTTAAAAATTTTCTGGGCTACTAGACGAAACTGCAACTTCAGTTTGGTTCTGTTGGATATGGTGGTTTGGACAATATTATTGAACACACTTGACGTTACTGCATGGCGGAAGTATTTAAGTAATTCATCCAATGAGACCGGTCGAGATATCACAATAAATAATACCCTTTGTTTAATTAGGTATGGTAGAAATGAATATAAAATCATTTATAATGAATACAACGTGGATTGAAGAGTTTTGTTTATCTCATAAACAAGGGTTTCCATTGGTTCTCCTTAGATTGACACGTGGTTGTTAATAGGACAAACTTTACGATGGCTAATATTCTTATATCTTCATCTCCTTGGTAGCTCTTTTACACATTGATACAGAGTAAGCACTCCGCCAAGAAAGCAATTATTAATTAGTGATGAGAAATGTCACCCCACCAATCGATATGTTTAAAAAAAACTACTAAAAAACGTGTGGGTGATAGAGACCAGTTTACAGGACCTCGATCATTATTTTGTTTTTACAATATTCATTTGAAAATATTACCTACTGCCACATGTCCAGGCAAATGGACGACAAAATAAACTAAAACAAATTAAAATCTGGGTGTAACTTGACCTCAGCGGATTAATTAATCTCATTTTACATGCTCCTTTTATTAGGTACAGTAGTAGTGATCACAGATATACAGTAAGTGAGGTCGAAAGCATCTTTCAGAAATGGGGAAATTAAAGCTAACTGCTAGCTCATTAGAAGGCGACAATTACAAATAAAATAATGATTTTAAACATGGAAAGATACATTACAATTTCATATAAACGTACGGTACTCAGCCCTGGCTTTTCTTCTGCGAGAATGAGGGTTCAGTTCAAGGTCAGAATTTATAAGCCTAAATTATATTTGGGGAATTGATATTAATTTACGGGCAGGTACTCAGCCCTGACCTTTTGAAATATTGTAGATCGGCAGTAGAAATCAGATTCTGYAATGGGCCTGTCCATACTTTTCCACTTTCTTTTTCCAATTCGGCTTCTGTCATGACAGCACCATCCAAGCAGCCCCTTGTAACCTATCTTGTACTGGGAATATCTCCCATAAAATAAATAAGTATAGAGATATTCTCAACGTAAAGCTGTAAAGGTTGTTGGAATGGGCTTTGCCCAAATCGAAGTCGGACTCTTCTTTTTCATCTTTACCCTTTGTCTCTTTTCCTCACTGTGATGATTACACCGAGTGCTCAATGGGATGAATATACATGTTCACCTCTAAGTCTGAGTTTGGAAGGAGTATAAATGCAAATATGTAGAATGCAAAAACTTATATTTTGTATGTATTTATGCTGTATATATTTTCATTTATACTTTTTCCAACTTTGGAAAATGTCAAATACAAATTTATAGAGTGAAAAACCTTATATTTTGTATGTATTTACATTATACATAATATTTATACTCTTTCCAAACATTGCCTAATTGTCTGTAGATTAGTTAAAAGAGTATTTTCTCTAGCTACTAGTTATTTGATATCTAGAGATTCATACCTACATAGTTGAGCTGCTAACTTGAGCTGATCACACTCTACTCTCAACCATCATGCACCTAGCTAGTGTCAGAATCGAACTCCACACACAACAATCGCTTGGGCCTCTGGGTCATGGATTGAATTCTGAATTGGTGATACTTTCTAATTAATCATCTTAATTAAGTTTAAAATAAGCACATGTAATATTTAAAGTAGGTTTGACCAATTCAGCGTTTATAAGAAGAAGATCTAAACACCATTAATCCGGTTTACTGACAGTTCAACCGTCCCGATCTGATCGATGACAACCGACAATGCAGCATTAGAATAAAATTTTGAACAAGTAGAGTTCTCATGCATTATTGTAACGAGAACGGTCCCATTAAATCATCAGAAACTCCACGTAAACGAATAATTAGACCACCATTAAATATCAAGGCAAAGTAGTTAGGTTGTACAAAGCGAAGCTTTACCAATGGATGAAGTGCACACAACTGGTTAAACTGCCTTAACCATCATGCCACCAAGTTTGGCTTCGGTCAGGACAAAGTCCATTCGGACAGTTTTTACTGCCTTTCCATTGAAAATTTCTCTATATTTATATGCTTTATTTCATGAAGAGATGTTTCTAATATAAGATTGAAAAAAACTGTTAGAATGATATGAACACAAATTTGCCCTAATAAAAACCGGTCTCCATGCCACCGGCCCGATCTCGGCTCATCTTACTGTTATAGTATTGAACAATATTATATTTGGATAGACAACTCTCACACTACTACAATTACTGCTTTTGACAGATAAATGAGTTAGATGACGTCTAGATATAGGTCAAGTAATGCATCAAGATAAAACTTGATAGAATGGGACATAAATTATAATTGATATAAATGTCTATACAGATTGAATATATTGAGAGTCAATTAAATATGGCATCAGTATTCCTGAATCCAGTCAATCGAAAAGAAAAGAAAAAAAAAAAAAAGAAAGGAGATTCGCTGATTGCCCTTCTGTTGAGTTTTTAAATGTAACCTAAAAAGTGACAGAGTCCAAACATAGTCACATTGGCAATAATAATAATTGCCAATAGTAAGGGTTGAATTTATTTATTCCCCCTCCTTTTCTCTCTCTCGTTCTGACACCAAAACAATTATTAATACAATTCATACTTACCAAAAGGGTGGAGGTGACATCCCTCATACTAAAAAATGTCACTTTTACTTTAAATCCCCCTTTTTAATTTTTTGTTTTATTAAAATTTTTATTTTTTAAATTTTACATAATTACCCATTATGCCAATAAAAAAATCACAGACTTAACTATTTTTAACAATTATAAGTAAAGAGAATTAAAATAAATCAGACTTTTGGGATAATAATGAAAATAAATAATTTGCACATAGGCTTAACTATTTCATAAAAATAAATTATTAAATTAAAAAATAATATAAAAAATATGAATAAATTATAAAGATAAAAAATAATTTATTAAAATAAGAATAAAATTGAAAAATACATATAAACTTATAAATTAATATCTTAAAACTATTAAAATAACTAAAAATTAATATAAATAAAAATTATAAAAAATAAAAAATAATTTATTAAAATTAGAAAGTATGTATAAATTTATAAATTGAAAATAAATTATGAAGAATTAAAATAATAATAAAAATAGTAATAAAGTCTATGAAACAATTAAATAATTAGAAAATTAATATCTTAAAAAATATTATAAATAAATAATTAATAATTAATTTTACATATTTTGTTTTATATTAGTTGCAAAGGAAGCGAATGGGGTGGAGAGGATAGTGGTCGGGAGAGGAAAAGGGATAGAGAGAGAGAGAGAGGAGGGTGTTAATCACTGCTGTTGAGAGTTGCAACAGCGGTGGCAAGAAGACAAGGGAGAGAGACCATACATTGCCATCCCCACGGGGCCATGAAAGGACAACGCTCTCTCCCGGCCCTTTTCCTCTTGTCGTGGTAGTTGCCCAAGTAACACGAGTTATGGGTTTATTCTCTCTCTCTCGGCTAGAGATTCTTTTTGATAATAGTAGCTTGAGAGGTGCTTTTCTCAAATAATTTAAGGTCGAGGGTCGTAGTTGATGAGATGGAAGCACCCCCGCCCCCCCGATTAACCCGCTCTTCTATCAAACCCTTTCTAGGACCCACCATTCTTATTTTTCTCGGTCTATGTATATAGGGTGGGTGGGTGGCCTTTCTCAATGCCTAGCAAATAGCAAATAGCAAACTAAACCCATTTATTAAAGTACTACAATGACTATTCACGCGCCAAAGTTTTTTCTTTTATATATATTTTAATTTACTACTATTTTTTTCTTCTTAATTAATGACAAGGAATTTCTTTCCTCCAGAGCGTTCATGTCTCGCAATAAGTCTCCCATAGATATATATAAATAATGCACCTTCTTCCTATTTGGCCACACCCACCTCGATTCATTTCTCTTTATTGTTCTTGTTTCTGAATCTCTTCCAACTTTTCTTCTACCTAATTTAATGTTCAGCTTCAGCACATAATTAAGCCCAACTCTCTTCTCTCTACACCTTGTTGTTCCCCTTCATCAGTCTAATTTAAAACTGTGTCTTTAAGATTCAAGATCTGCATGCGCAGTGAATGTCCGAACCAGAAGACATGAGTCTATCGGTAAATGGACAGTCCCAGGTTCCCCCAGGTTTCCGATTTCATCCAACAGAAGAAGAACTCTTGCACTACTACTTAAGGAAGAAAGTAGCCTATGAGAAGATCGACTTGGACGTAATTCGGGATGTGGATCTGAATAAACTCGAGCCATGGGATATACAAGGTTGTGTTTCTCTCCATAACTATCTTCCTTGTTGTTGTTTTTTTTTTTTTTTTCTTTATTGTTATTGTCTTCACGACGACTTTGCTTTTGGTGGTGGTGGCCTGGCTGGGGCTCCAACAGAAAAATGCAAAATAGGATCCACCCCTCAAAATGATTGGTACTTCTTCAGCCACAAAGACAAGAAGTACCCGACAGGAACGCGAACCAACCGTGCAACGGCTGCCGGCTTCTGGAAGGCCACCGGCCGTGACAAAGTTATCTATAGCAGCTTTAAGCAAATCGGCATGAGGAAGACACTAGTGTTCTATAAAGGTCGAGCCCCACATGGACAGATATCTGATTGGATCATGTATGAGTACAGACTTGATGATCGCACCGCTACTACTGATACAAACGTAAACGTGAGCCTGTCTCTTTCTCTCTCTCTCTCTCACACACACACACACCGAGTTATTAGTTATATATGTATAATGCTTTCAATTCCTTGTATTAATAATCCCGGTCGTTTGACAATACCACTGCATAATCCAGGAGGAGGGGTGGGTGGTTTGCCGTATTTTCAGGAAGAAAAACCATCACAAATCTATAGAAGCCAAGAGATCGTCGTCTGTTGTTACTGTAGACGCGAATACACATACAGTTAATACGAGTAGAGACGTGGCTCTGGATCAGATTCTTCAGTACATGGGAAGGAATTGCAAGCAAGAAAATGAAACAGGCAACACCACAACCAGCACTGACAGAAACAACACTAGATTTCCCAGGCCGACCGAAATAGCAATCAACAATGATCTCCAGGAAAGAATCTCGCAACTCCCAGCACTTGAGAGCCCAACTCTACTGTCACTTAGAAAAGATAGCATAAGGCTAGATGATATTCAGAGTTGTAGCAGCCAAGTTTGTTACCAACCCATTCAAGACCTGCATCAAGTGTTCACAGACGACTCTGAAACATCTGCAACCGACCAAGTCTGCGGCAATACAAACCCGATTTACCATGCTGAATCAGGGCTGAGTGACTGGACCACCCTGGATCGTCTGCTCGCACACCATTACCACCTCATTGGTCAGGCAGAAACGTGCAAACATTTGCCTTTCTTCACAAAAGATTCCAGCATGGCTTTTGGTTCAGACCCTCTTCACCTTCAACTACGTGACTCAAACACATCTTCATCATATCACAATTCCCAGGACTCTAGCAGCGAGAATGATCCTTGGAGCATAACTCGGTCATGTTATCTGTCGACAGACCCACCGCACCACGTGTCGAATGCTTAAAGTACGATATGCCAAGTCAATGTCAAATAGGCGTGCGTGTGTTTTTCACACAAATATACATATAAAACGGTAATTTTCCAGTATCGAGTCAAGGCATGACGTGCCCAGCCCTGTACTGCGCCTTTTTAATAATCAACATTGAAAGTTTTGAGGGTTTTTTCTTGCCACGTGGCAATGGTGGGCATTGTATTTGACTATTTGTCGCACCACATTAGTACCGGTTGCCAAATACTCCAAAAAGATGCAACAGATGGCAAGTTACACGATGCTGCACAGTCAAGTCTATTTTGCAAGTCTAATGTATAAGGTACCGTTTGGCAAGTCTTTTTAGTTTAAAGATTTTAAGTGCAAAAATACAGAAATCTTCGTTTAAAGCTTTTAGAGTTTTGGTCATTTTTAGTTTCCATGAGTATTGGTAAACACGAAAAGACTTTCCAAACACCTCCTAAATATGCAAAAGCTGTAACCAATTTTCTCCATTTTTTCCTATATCTTGTAGCTTAGATCTTTTCTAGCCCCAACATTTGATTTATCCCATTGCTATTATTTTGGTTTTCATTTGTGTTCATTTTTAAGGAAACAAGAAATTATTTTTGGAAATGCAATGTAATTAGCATCAGAAAGTCATTTAGGATTTCCAAATATTGGAAGGTTTATTTATGTACTAGAAGGAGAGAGAACCCTACTTAATATTGTAGAATGTTTGTCAACTTATTCAAGTTTGAATCCAACATCTAATTAAAGTGCACAAATGATTCAAATGTCAGATCAATTTCTAATATTAACGTCTAATAATCTCTTCAAAGGTTGGTTCTTAATGATTAAAATGCCTTCTTATTAATGCCTGGTTCCTGTGAAAGGAAAAATTCTGCACACAGTCACACAATGGGTATATCTCTAGTACATGCATATATGTTAAACTGATAGTGAGGTGTTATTCTCTAGCTGGATGCCTATGTTTTCAGAATGTGTGTAAAATTTCTTCTTGCAGGAGATCTCACTGCAAATACTGTATAGGCAGAGGCTTTCTCAAGGGCAAAATGATAGTTTTATTTCAAATATCAGGTCTCTAAAAAAGGAATTTGTGCTTTTTAGATAGCAGGTTTTTTTTTTTTTTTAATACATGATGGAGTTTACAAATGCAACAAAATGGACCACCAATAGCATCTGTCATAATAATGTAATCTAAATCCTTTGAATTCGTTCGATCCACATTTATATATTTGTGGTGACCTTCATTTGCTATATTGAGATCCGCTTCCTCTCTAATATTTAACCTGAAGATAGCCTAATTCTTTTGCTGGTTTAGATATCAGATTTTAATTTTACCAAACACCACCTAAATCAGCACCCACTTGACATGTCTGATCATAAATTGTATTATAATCCGATCTAGCACTATTACCACATACACACACATCCATATAAAATTGAGATGAAAATATTATTATCAATAAAGTGGATATATTTTAGATAACTTTATCGAACAACGCATAAGATCAAAGATATTTCTTTTCTTTTTCTCTTTTTTTGAAAAAAAAGCCAAAGACATTTGTGTTTCGCTGATCAATAATCATCCAGAAATGTAAATTTTTTAAGTTTATTCTATTAATTAATAATTTAATATGACAGTAAATGGATCGAATCAAACTTTGATTAGGATATATTTGAATTCGATTCAATAAAATTCGACATGTTCTAATTCAATTCTTTTATATATTAAGATATCCGATTTTAATTCATTTATACAACCAAAATACATTAGCAACCGAAAAAAAATCTCAATTTCCACTTTAATTCTAAAGAATTTTAATACTAAAATATAATCATTTGCATATAGCGAACCTATAATCAGATTGGATTGAATCAAACATTATTCAAATTCGAACCAATTAAAAAATGAATCATATGATCGGAATTGGTTAAAACTATCTGAATAACCGAATCTGAACGATCCATTAAAAAAAAAAAAACACTTTTAACCCACTGGCTGGCTTTGCAATAAATCAGATGAAGACATTGTGCGGAAGCTAGAAGATATTGAAACTTTAATTGATGGAGTGTGTAGTGCACTTTCTTTTCGGTATCATATTTTTCTCGCATCATAGATTTCTCCTTGACAATAAATAAGGGTGTTCACTATATGGTCTAGACTGCCAAACCACACCAAATCAAACTGAAATTAGTGGTTTGGTATGGCCTGAACTTAAAATAGTTTGATATGCTCTAAGAATTTTTCAGACCGTAATTTTTTATTTGTTATGGTTTTTAAAATTTTGTAAACCACCCAATCATAAACTGAATTATTAATATATATATATATATATATATGGGTCTGACTATGATATGGAAAACCATATCATATCTAAAACCTGTACTGCTGCCACATATACAGCAGTTACCGGTAATTGGTTTTTTATATGTTAATTAAAATTTAAAAGAGTCTTTAACTTATCCATTAACCGAATACTCCTCTACATTCTTATCTTCTTCCAGTAATTCAAGATATAGATCGTGGGAATCAGRTTCAGGACACATTAAACAATTTGTTATAGAGTTCCAGACATGAGAGAACCTTCTCCTGTTCTATTTCATAACAAAACTAGCGTAGTTAAGACAACTAATAAGGTGATGCAAATGCATAGATGCTTGAAGGACCCATTATTAGTTCCCATCTTTTGTTATCTCCTTCCCAACAACATCTAGATCTAAAATACAAGAATTTAGACCTAGACTAGAATCTAGTAATGATCATGCTCTTGCAAATAATACAGATGTATTTCTCCTGTATCCTCCTAGAGCACTTGTCTGACAAACAAGAGCCTAGCAAGAAAAATGAAAAAAAATTTCAAAACCAGTTCTTTGAATCATTGAACTACCAGGGAGGAAAGAGAGAGAGAGAGAGAGTGAGTGAGAGAGAGAATCAGTAACACTGCAGAACATGATACCCAGTCAAATGGATATTTGCAACATGCATTTTTCTCCCCTATCCAGGTCCCTTTTCAGACACAATGCATTCAAATCATGACGTTTTAGGAGAACCAGGCATCAGGATCTTTCTCCCAACCAAACGAATGTTATTCTATCAGAAAAATCCCATTAATCAGCAAACTTAGACTTGCAATGCAACCACTGAAGATAAAGAGATCCCATATGCTTGGAACTTGAAATGAAGACCCAAATCACGCAAGAATGAAAGAATGATTAACATATATAAATTGGTAAAGAAATAAAACCAAACAGGACAAAATCATCAAGTAAAAGATGTGCAAGAGCAAAATTAAGAAAAGAAAGGAAGAGAGACAATTCTTACCATCATATTTGACAAGGTGAGAGAGCAAGAGGATGAGGATCACTTGAAGAAGTACAAGGGTGACGAGGTGACACCGAAGAAAAACCATTGTTGTCAGCGATGATTCAACAGGGGTGGTGAGCTGAAGATATCAGGGAGAATGACGGTTAGTACTTTTCCGTAAGTTAACGTCTTTCTTAAAATGAATTTCTTTTTTCAAATGTGATTTTAATTGTTGTTTTTGAAACCGATTACTTGTGATAACCCATATTCATGAAAACAGAAAGTCGAAAGTTGATTGGGCCATCTCATCCAATATGATACGGAAAAGTTACTTTTTCCATCCGATATGAATATATATATATATATATATATATATATATATATATATTCATACAGTATTATTGTTTGTTTCTACTTTAACTTGTTACTTAATGCCTGAGAAATTATTTAAGTTTGAAAAAGTGTAGATTCAATGTATATAACAGTAATAGATGACACTTGTTAACATAGATTCGATTGGGTTTAAATTGTGCAGTTCCATGAAGCATGAATAATTAAGGAGAATAGAAATCAATGGAGTATGGTTGTTGGCTTGACTACTTGCCTATTGGGTTCTTTAAGCTGAATGTAGATGGTGGTAAGGGTGAGCATTCAGTTAAAAATCAAACCGAATAAATTAAAATTTAAAAAAAAAAAATTTCATTAATATATAAAATATAATATATTATAATGTATAATATATATTATATATGAAACTGAATTTCATTATAATATATTGCTATATAAACATATAGTATATTATATTATATAAAATTCAATTTTTCCAGTTAATCAAATTTCTAATTCTTACAACTGAAATCAAACTTTTTGGTTTAGTTTTTCAATTTTTGGCCTAGTTTTTTTATTCTAACCGAATAATATTCACCCTGAATGGTGGGACTCGTGGGAACCCTAGAATTACTGGAGGGGGTAGTGTGATTCGTGATGGAAATGGAGACTTTGCCTGTGTCCAGGCTAGCATTCGGTACCTTAGAATTTAGTTTTTTATTTTTCTTAATCCTCAGAACTTTTGTGTTTATTATGATTATGAGGTAAGGATTAATATGTACAGCTTTTCTAGTGTGGTAAGGTTTTTATGTCCCTCACTTAGGTTATTCATTTTTTTTTTATATTTAATATATTAAAGCTCGCCAACTTTTCACTAGGAATATTCTGGGATCAAGATAGGTATTTATGTTACTTGAGTTTTCTAATTGGGTTAAACTAAATAGAATAGTCCAAATCATATTATAAACCAGAAAACAGTTTAATCTAATTTAATTTGTATACTAAAATTGTTCAATTTATATGAGAATTTTTCAAACTATAATTTATTAATTTCATCTAATACCTTTTGCAAATAGAAACAAATGATCCGAACCTCATAAACACTACTAACAGGAGAGACTAGAGAGGTGGATACCCCCAATTCTTTTGGGAGGCCCGAGTTACATCAGACCAGACAAGAAAAATGTTGGTTACCATGCTCTTAATTTGTTGGTGATGCGACATGCCAATGGACAAAAGAAAAATGTTGCATCAATTTATCAATATACCCTCTAGTTTATATATGTATATACTAATAACTTGTGGGACCAAGAGCAGATGCTGTGTTACATAGTTCATGAGAAAAAGGATGTGATAAAAGGATTATAGGAACCCGTTCAAGATCTTAGGTGCTTATCTACATTGCTGGATGCCATATAAAAAAGGTGCCATCCGTTTCATATTGGCCATGTGAAGTGAAAAAGACCTTAATAAAAAAGGCCCCGTTTGGTGTATCATTCTGCATAGTCTTTCGGTTGTTTATAAGTTGGGCAGATTGACTGTCGTTTTTTTTTCATTTGGTTCATAATAGATTTAAACAGAAAAAGTCGGTGCATGGAAGAGATGAGAGAAATTCATTTTGGGYCGATTTCAAAAAACTTCAAATGGAGCTTTTTGCATGTTTCTCGCTTTATTCTCATGTGAAAAAATATACATGCGATAATTAAATTAGCTTCAAGCTGTTCAAATCTTCATGCATGAAGATCTTCCCAAAAATACTTATCAAACGGCCCCAAAAGTCTATTATTTAAGATTTTCTTCACTTTTTTTTTGACTTTTATCTTAAATTAATCAGTTAAATTTGACTTTTCAATACCTTAAAGACAAGCCAGAGATATAAATTCATAGGGAGATATT